TTCAATTTTTTTCTCTGGAAGGAAAATTCGTGAACTCAGTTACTAGAGAAATTTTAAAACCTGAGTCTGTTGCTGTTGCCAAGAATGGCGATCTGTTGCTTTGTTTACGATAATACAGGTTCTACTGAGCAGAAAGACTGTCAAGGCAAACGAGAAAAAGGGACTTCTAGTCTTGATCAGGAGAACTATTAGCCAGAACGCAGAGGTACTTCAGTCGTTCGACCGATTTCGACTGGGTTCAGTAATTGAACAAAACCGAAGCGACTATAAAATATGACCAATTTATCAAGCCAATCGAACGTTTGATTACTCTCAACTATTGATTGAAAAACGGTTTGAACCGGTTTTCAACTTAGCGTAATTATAACTTAGCTTGAAATACCACAACACGAATTACATGTAAACCTCGTAAAGCAGTAAGAAAAAAGGAAAAATCTTTAGTGATGTTGCTAAAGGCCAAGAACAGGTCGACAGCCAGAGGGATTTGCGTAGTATTTTATTTGACCAATACATCATTTTTAGGGGTACTCCATTTTAGGTACTCCACAGGGTACTCCATGGAGTAGGGCTCCTCATTTTGTCATCTCCTCTTATTTCCATGTATTTTCAGTCGTTCAGTGAACATCGCATGCAGGAGTACTCAAAATGCCGCGCGTTAAACCATTAAATAAAAAATAAACATAATAAACTCTTTTCTTATGTTGGAGCTTAACTCTGTTAATGTTCATTCAAACACTCGCCAAAGCTCGCACTGCAAAAGTGAGAACCGGCTGGTCGTACAGGTGATTTTGGAAATTTTTTTAACGGTTTAGCTAAAAGCCCACGCGTGCTTCGATCGTCCTGAATATTGAATGAGTAACAATTTGTATTGCAAAATTGTGAAATACTGCATTCTGTCCGAGGTCTGTATGATAAAAACAGTGCCTCATTGTACTGTTTCACCTCAGATGTGATGTATAAATGGTATAAAAGGTTGGTTTACACGCACCCAGATTTGTTGGCGAGATGTTGTAAAGTAAACTTGTCGAAGGCAAAAAAATTCGGCAGATTCGGCCTTATTTTTTTCCCAGGCATAATTAATCTACGGTGATCAAGAGCCATTATGGCTCTTAAATGTGATCGAAGATGATTGCCAGTTTTTTGGTGTACATATGAGGCTATAAACTCCATGTAAGTTTTACTATATGTATATACCGCCATATGTATGTCAATACTTGTTGTGGCAATTAAAAAAAAAAAAATTGTTCACTCATGGGCTGTTTGTTTTCGTTCTAATCATTTCAATACAGACGGTGTTCATTTAAATATATTTATAAAAAAGGTATGGCTCTCCTCTTTTGGAACATTTTGGAACATAATAGCTCCAAAAAGAATTTTTCAGTGATCGATGTGATTGGCAATATCGAATAATAGTCAATACCTTCCATACTGAATCTAGTAACAAACAAAGCAATAGCCCCGCTCAAGGTTACTCTGCTCCTAACGGCAGCGGTTTTATAAGTGATTTTTCATAAAATTATTAGTCTTCCAAAGTACAAAGACCAAGTTACAATAACTTTACGTAATTGAAAAATTAGCGTCTTAGTATTAAATGAAATCTGCTCTGATGCTGCTCTTGATTCGCATTTCGTTCTTGGTGGTTATGATGTGACTGGAAAAGACGGAAACCATCACCACGGTGGCTGTGTCACAATTTATGTAAAAATAATATACGTAAAATAAATGATGTCTGTAAGTCTTTAACATAATTGGTCTGTACTTCAAAATAAAACACAAAATTATTATCATCATGATCAGCATCAGCAACATCTTTGTCATCGTCACTATTGTCATCATAATCATAACTATAACAAAATTCTCAAATCTGATTGGTTACAAGAGATGCCCTGATGTCAGCCTTAAGTAATTGGACAGTACGCGCCATCATGCGTGCGCTTAAATGGCCTTTTTTAGTCTCTGCTAGCAAAAAAAAAATCTTGGAATTTCTTGTGTTTTGATTTTAAAAAGAGCCTTATATATCACAAATTCGTCTAAGTTATGATTAATTGGTAACTGGACTGAGTGAAGTCCAATTCGGTCGGTAATCATACGAGTGATTAAACAAATCGGACTCGCGCTACGTGCATGGTCGTCCGATTTTGTTAATCACTCGTATGATTACAGACCGAATTGGACTCCACTCAGTCCTGTTACCATTACTTAACATCATCATAATCAGCACCACCATCACTAGAGCATGATGATGGTGGTGCGAATAATCGCCCCCCCGCCACTTCCCACCACTGTAGGTGACCCGCTATCGATACCCATGACGGAAAATCTGGAGGATAACGCTGAAGAGGAGTCTGATCCAGCTAAACTGATCAGTGATGATTCCGAGAATATTGACAATGAAAATTAATCAAGAAACCAAATTTGGAACACTTAAAAAGCCCATGTTCGGTTTATTTGATGCGATTATTTTGTGATTTGATGGGAAAATGGAAGAAAATTTAGAGCACGACTTCCAGCAGTGAATGATATATATATGAAATAATCGCCTCTCTCGAAGGGCCTCGAATAATCGCCCCCTTTTCGTGCGAAAAAAGAAATAATCGCACCCGGCTATTATTCGAGGAAATACGGTAAAAAACCATGTATTTAGCCTTGAAAGCAAGCTGTAGTTATCACTCATTCGACCTCATAAACAGTAGCTATAGCTTATTATTCTGATCCATATCCATGCATATAGGGCGTTCAGATATCAAAAACTCCTACTTTTCAACGTAGGTGACGATCGCGTGACGCAAAGTTTTGAATTTCAAACTTGTAATCCACAAAAAAGCAAGAACTATATTGAGCTGAAAAGTTGAAGCAAAAAAGATGACTGTTCAGTTACGTTTGATATTTGATCAAACGATTATTAATTCGTTATTTTCAAGTTGAATTTTAGTCACGTCACTGGTCAAACGAAAGCGCAATAATTTCCTTAAAATCCCGGGGGGTACTCAACAAAGTCTTATGTTGGAGGACTCCGTCCTAAGGTCCATCCTCTTTAGATCCTCTTTAACCGTTTAAGTATTATTTTTGACAGATATAAGGACCTCTTTCATATATCTTCTATTGACAAATGAGTGCCTATACTGTGCCTTGTTTAGAATGCTTTATCCCTGGCTTCATCCCTTTTAACTCCTGTAAATACACCGTCGTTTGTGTATGAATAAATCACTTTAATCAGGAATTAAGATGTTGTCATGTCTTTTCTACCAGCCGTTAGCCCTTAAGGCCTTTCTATAGAGCGGAATAACAGATTTCCACACCCTTTCATATACTTCAACTATACAAATCCCCACCTTTGCACAAAAACAAGAGGCATGAAAAAGGTATCCATCTCGGACGGAGCCTCCCCTTTCCCCGTACAGGCCATTATAGCTAGTACCTCCCCCCCGCCCAGTCTCCCGCTGAGAAGTAGTTGGATTGCACAGTTGTGAAAGCCAAGCACTTTCGGGATCGTGTACACGGGTAGTTTAGTGAACAGCAGATCAGCAAATGGTTTAAGCGACTGAAGAAGTAGATTTAAAGATTATTTCCCCGTCCAGTCAAGAAAGGAGCACTTGTGCGATTTATCGCGTAGTAAATTAGTGGTACAGCTCGACAGCAGTACCGAGCGCCATCAACTTCCGCGAACGCCGAATGTACTTCATCTGCATGTTTTCCCAGGTTTGTTTTCATTTGTCCCCTTAACGATATACAGTATTTAAAGTGAATAATAACATTCAACTACTTGCCCTAGTCGCGCGCCTAAACTTCTACGAGCGAGCAAACGAAACATGCAAACTCACAAGTTTTTGGTTGTCGGTTTGTTTGCTCGAATCATTGCATTCAACTGACCTATTTTTTTATATATATATATTATATATATCTATATACGCTTGGGGTCTTGTATGATTACCAGCCAAGTAAAACGTAAATTCAATTAATATACAATTACTGAACGAAGAGGTGATACATACAAGATTAAAACTAAGTGAATTTTAAAATAGTTTTTTTATAATTGCCCCGGTCTCTTGCTGAGTCATTGGGCAATGAAGAGCTATGAGATCTTATAGCAGCCATTTTTTAAATAAACATGGACTGTATACACTTTACCAAGGCCCGTAGATAACACAAGCTATCGTGACAGTACCACGAAATAAAGTCTGAAATGAAGGGACACTGTTCAGGTGACTCTTGCCAAAGGCCGGTTTAATACCGAAATGCCGGAGTGGTAAAAAAATCTCAAATGATCAATATCCAATAAGTTGATTGTAATCACAGCTCCAGCGGCTGTACTTCCCTTGTCCCATCTCTGTCAGTTATAACTTCTTGATGGATTCCTTGATGGATTGAGAATTTATATTTTTACCCAGTTGCAAGCTTTTTCGAGGGACTTATATATGAGCAATTATATACAGTGTGTAGCTACAAAGTAGATAACAACAATCTAATTCGATCAAATTCTGCTAATTACACATATCAGTCCGAGTGACCTTTCCACCCAGCCGTATTGAACTTGCTAAATGACAAACTCGTCAATGGTGTGTCACGAAACTAACTATCAAAATTTAAACAAAGAGAACTGCCACCAAACTGACAAACAAACGCTCAAAACCTTTAAAGAACGTATGATACAAAACCGTAGTTATGGATAATATATTCCCCTAAAAAGAAAAAAGGCAACCGAGCAAAGTGAAAAATATAAGAAGCTGTAAGGCCCGGTTCAGACGCCGTACTTTTTCATGAGCCGAACCTAATACATTGAATTAAGTGCATGAAAAGTTCGGCGTCTGAATCAATTAGGAACGCCTGTTTCAATTTGGAACGGCTCAGCCGTTCTTTTCGCCTAGCCCGGCCGGGAATTTCGCCTTTGATTCAGACGCCGAACTTTTCATGTACCGAACCAAATGCAGAAATTCTTACAACGTATTTTGTAAGCAGTTTGACCGAAATGCGCATTTTTCGCCTTCTGAATTTAGTTCGGCTGGAATTAAGATCGGCGTCTGAATCACTTTAGCCGGTCTAAATAATTTGGGTCGGCCTTAATTCGAATTAGGTTCGGCTCATGAAAAGTTCGGCGTCTGAACCGGGCCTAAGAAACATTATTGAATAACTAGCCCACAAGAGGTCTCTTATTTACAAGTTCGGTATGATTTCCGTATAACCCCATATATTTATTATATTCATTTAGCAATTTCATACTTTTTCTCACAAATAGTTTAATATGAAAAGAGTCGAAACATGTATGCATACTACATGTATGGGATTATAAGGAAATCGTACCCCAAGTTCAAGTTATTGATTTACCTGTATTAGTTCAGTCAGTACAAGAAGCCCAATGTTCTTTACTTTGTGAAGTAACCAGCTCAATCTAAATGGCCACGACCATTTTTACCTTTCTGGCTCCCATTAATAACATTATGGATTGTTTAATAGTACTGTTCGAAGCAGTAGCCTAATAATATAAACGTTGCAAGGTTCTTCAAAGTATTGTGTCAGGGGCACCCAACAAGAATATAGTTCAAAACCACTTAAACAATTAGCATTGTTAAACGTATTTTAGTATTTAAACGTTGGATATAGGCATCTTTTTATCCCCTAAACATTTTTCATCTGTGCGGATTTCCTAGCTGAAAGTCTAGTGATCCGAAAATTATAGGGATCAAAACTTACCTTTTCGAAAATTTCAGCCTGATAAAAGGCTCCCGAAAATTCTAGGTGATCTTTTTAGGGTAAAAATCCGTTAAAAATGGGCAATTATACCATTTTTAAATGTTCGAAAATCCTAGGAGAGGCAGGCAGGCAAGAAATTATACAAAAAATGTTCCGAAAATTCAGGATCTCAAATCGTCTTCCAAACAGATATTTTCCGAAAATTGACATTGGGTTCCCTGTTGTGTTAGAGCGAAATAGGCGACCATAAGTGAAGAACAATGTATTTTAATGTCATTACGTTTTTAGATAATGGACAATGGAACAGTTTCTGCGCGTGCCGCTTAAGAAATTGATTTATTCACTTAAATTGTATGTGTTAGATTATTGAAATTCAATTATGTTTGTAGATGTATTTATTCCAGATAACAATTTTTAATTTAATGTAGTGCATATATTGATATGTTATATTTTTGATCAATTGATTAATTAATTATTATTAATTACTATGTTTTAGAAAACAAGAAGGCTGATAACTGTTCGTCGCCTAGCCTTTGTGATTTTAGTTGGATCTGGCATCCAGAGGTTTTAAACTGCCCGTAATAGTGATAACGATAATGATAATAATAGTTAGCATTATATGAATATTGTACTACACAGAACCATCACTGATTGCTTGTGCAACACCAGCAGCTCCATCCACCAAGGAAACCACTAATTATGCGCGGCTTTGTCGACTCTTGGTGGAGCTTGGTACCAGGGCCCTTAAGGACACTTTTGATTCCATACACAAACCAGCAACCCTGCATGCTGTTTTGGCGGGAAACAAAACTGTGCTACAGTCACTTAGGGGCAAAAAGATTATTAATCCAACACAATGGGGAAAGCTATTTCCTGCTAACCCGTTGTCAGTGTCGTCGTCATCATTCGACATTACTCTTCTGATGGTCTTGTTAAGAAACATCTGCGGTCTGGTTGCACCTGCGACTGGTTGGGATGCTTTGCCTACCGCAACAGACTTGAGCCGTGAAGCCGATATTGCTCGAATAAAATTCTTTAGAAACACGGTGTACGCACATGCTCAACACGCTTCGGTTGATGATACAACATTTAATAGCCAATGGCGGGATATACGGGAATCTATGGTGCGTCTGGGAGGACTTCAGTACAGAACTGCTATCAACCGTCTTGAGTTGGAATGTATGGATCCTGATACTAAACAACACTACATTGAGCTGTTGGAACAGTGGAAGAAAGACGAAGACAACGTGAAAGATCAGTTAGAGGAAGTCATGAAAAAGCTCCATGAAATAACTACTGAAGGTAAGTTAACTTGCTATCAAAACATCTCACTCTGTGCGAAATTCTGAAAGCTGGTTTTTTGATTGGAGACAAGAAAGAATAATGGAACAGAGACGGAAACGCCCAGTTTAGCCCTTGGGATATGTGAATTTCACCAAAGTTATCTTTAGACCAAATAAACGCTTGAAATTAATCGGAAATTGGTTTCCGGAGAGGTCCGCAAGCCCTTATTCAGTGTTATAAAAGGAAAATAATGGGAAATTATGCTCTCTTGGTGTGTTGTTGGGGATAAACACAGAATTTTTCAACTCGAACGATGAAAAACGTTCCGTGCTCTCTCTGCAATAAAACAACGCTCGCCGAACAACCCGCTTGTCATATGGAGAAAAAAGGGGGGTCATGTGACTAGCGCTTAGGTCCCTATCTAAAAGACGTAACAGTTTTCGGATAATTTTCATATCCGATGTTTAAATTAGATTTGTCCCAAACATGTGTCGCCATTACAATATTCTGCATTCAATCGCTTTGAGGGAGTCACGCGTGGACTAGATGAAGTTACAAACAATCGATCAGAATGTGCGGACGTTCCCGCAATTTTACTTCCTTTTAATTACAACCTCTAAACATAACTTAAGTGAAATTCATATGTCGCGGCCAACGCGCTAAGATTCTCTCTCTGTCGCATTGTTCTCTTTTGTTGGAGTGTGTTAATGGTATAAAACCCACGGTTTTTATGAGGTTGACTCCTTTCCCGCCTCGGTCTCCCTGACCGTTTTTTGAACTTTGCGGAGTATTTTATAACCCTTGTTTGATGTAAACATTTTACATGTAGCACACCTACTAACTTTTGTGCTGGGTGAAGTTGATGTGAACGAATGACGTCCCCAAAATTTTGATTCATGAGGTACGTAGGCAAAAATGATAGAAAAATAAATATTTTGATAAACATTAAAAACGGTACATGCCTGAATCTCCTTGAAGGACAATTTGTACCGTAATTGTGCTGACGATTGACTGAAGTTTTCTTTATAAGGACCTCATAATGACCTGCACCTCTTAACAGACTTAACAGTGTCTTCTAAAAACTGAAGGAAGGTGACTACTGTCTCTATGGCGAACGTTCTTAGCACTTTCCCGTCGGGGTAAGGGCGATATTTGACTGACATATAAGCGCATTGTTATTTTAGTGAAAAGCTTGAAGTCTCCAGATAATATCCTGCGTGGATCCAACACGTGTCAAGAGAGAAATCACGAGAATGATCCAGTAGAGTACTTTTGTGAAGCATGCAAAGTTTGTCAGAAATGTGGTCAGATCAGTTCTAACCACCACAACAAAAAGGATTTACAGCAGATGGCTTTTCTGAGAAAAAACGAAATGACTAAAGTTAAAGATAAACTGAAAGCGAAAGCGGTCGATGTTGAGGCAAAGGTGAGGGAACAAACTGATCTGATGCAGAAAAGCCAGGAAGAAGTCAGTTCTGCTGAAAAGGCGATGGTTGAGGTTGTGGAAGAGAAGATACGCATTCTGAACGCACATAAAATAGAAATGAAAACGAAATTTTCTGAGATTCGTGAAGCACAACAACGAGAACACAAGACTAGAATAAAAAAATTTAAAATGGTCGCAGCTCAGACAAGCAAATCTATTGAAAAATGCGAGGATTTCTTAACAAGAATGGATGGTCCTGGAATTCCGGAAACAGAGTGTGCTGCTGACTTAACTAGCTATGAGAAAGGTTTGAATGAAGAAGAAATGGAAATCTATTTACCTAGGCGTGTTACTTATCGTGCATACAAAGACTCAGTTACTCTGGGCGAGATTGTTGAATTGGAACCTCACTTTACCGCGGCCCCTGTCCAAAGAACAGAAGCTTTTCAGTGGCACGAGGAAGAAGTTCACATTACAGTATCTGGTCGGTCAAAAAGCAGGGTGGGGAACAAAAATGAAGCAAATTATTCTAAACATGGAGACCAGACAGCACAGCACACGCCAAAGACTGCTTGCGCAGCACATGACGTAGTGGTTAACAGTTGCGAGAAGCCGCTGCCTGCTTGGCCTCGGCGTCCACAAATGAGCCCACATCAAAAGAATGGTTTTCGATCTTTTGAATCACCTGGGAAAGGACATGAAGTGTTCCACAATCCGTGTAGGAATTCAAAGGATTCTAAAGATGGAGACAAGGCAGCACAACACACGCCAAACACTGCGAGTGCAGCAGATGACGTAGTTGTTAACCATTGCGAGAAGCCGCTGAGTGCTTGGTCTCGTGGTTTGCAAATTAGTCCACATCAGAACAAAGGTCTCCGATCATTCAAATCATGTGGGAAAGGTAAAGGAGTGTTCCACAATCCGTGTAGCATTGCTGTAAGTGAAAAGACTGGGTATATTGTGGTAGCGGAGGGTCTTAGTAGTCGAGTTCAACTGTTTGATTCTGAATGGAAATTTCTGAGGACGATAGGAGACAAGGGGACTGGTGCGAAGATAAAAGGTAATCCGATATCAGTGGCATTCACAGCGTCTGGTAACATTGTGGTTGTTCAAAGTGAATCATCGCAACGAAGTAGACTGTCCCTATTTACTGAGCTTGGCCATTTTATTACTGATATTAGCAGGCATCTGATTGAGCCACAGAGTGTTTCTGTTAGAAGTGACGGTAAACTGTTAGTGTGTGACTGGAGTGACGATGCAATCAAAGTTCTTTCTCCCGATGGTACAAAGCTGATGCAGACCATCAAAGCTCCCAATTGTGATGAGTCCCCTTGGTTTGCTGTACATTACCAAAGCATGTATTTTGTTTCCTACGACTCAGCACATTGTGTCAAAGTTTTCAGTGACGAGGGACAATTACTTTATGAGATTGGCAGCAAAGGATCTCGTGAAGGGCAGTTAAAGGGACCTAAAGGCCTGGCAATAGACAAAAGCAAAAATCTAGTTGTATGTGATAACGAAAAGAGTAGACTTCAAATTTTTTCCTTGGATGGAAAATTCTTGAACTCAGTCGCTGAAGAAATGAAAGATCCTTGGTCTGTCGCTGTTGCTAAGAATGGTGATCTGCTTGTTTGTGATTTTGCCGAAGACTGTATCCACATTATGAATTAGGTCGTGAACGATGTGTTCAAGCAGGTTTTGGTAAAAATAATCGTGGCATAAACGACGGTTGGTTTCTCCGAAAACTGTTGCAAGCACTTTTGTTTTATTACTTATTTCTATAAGCATGAATGCGAAGACTAGAACTTAAAAAGTGCTGACTGTAAGAAAATTATAATCTGTACGTGTATCTCACTTGTCCGACGACACATTTCGTATTATCATTCGAAGCAAATTTTTCTTTCTTTTCATTGGCCGAGAGCCCACCACGTGACCTGCAAATAACTGCCTACAAATAATGGTCTGCTCATGCGCAATGCCGTCCGACTGTGTTTGGCTAACTGTTTGGCTGCAAATAATATTCTGCACATCTGTAAAGGAAACCGTGCTCTTCTTCTTGCGATCGCTCTTGCGTGAAAATGGCAGATCGCTTCGCCTTCCGTGGATATTCATTAAAAAAACAAACTCGGTGATCGAATGATTAAACAATTATTGAACTCGGTTATGGCAAAATATCGTGATTTGTCAGTGTCTGGCAGTCGGCAAATAATTGATCTGCTCGTCACAGACAAATCACGATCTTTGGCTCAACCTCGTCCAATAATTGTTAATTGTCGGTTTGTTTCTCTTTTGGACTGTATTTCTTTGGTAAGCAAAATAAATTATAGTAGCCGTTCGGCATTCCTAATTAGCTTACTTTGTTTATTTTTTGTGTGGCATTATATATGGAGTTGTAATACCTTTAGTAAGAGGAGAACAAAATGTCAAGTCCTTAGCTCAATGCGCCGCTTACTTATAATTAAGAAAAGAGAAAACCGCATGCATGAAAATGCCTTTGTGGTCCATATCAGAAGCACTGTACACTGAATTCCCTTTTTGTTCTGAGTAGACGAACGAAAATCTTGGAGGCTTTTCGAAAGGTTGCGCTCAGAATAATATATTTTTCGTTTGACTTGGAAAAAACCATGAAATGAATGCACTGAATAAAACGTTTAATACCTCAGCCTTGCCTGTTTAGCTACGTCATTTGTGATTAAATTCTTCACAAAAATTACCCATTTAAATACTTTTTCGAAGGTCATGGTAATGCAAGAAGGCATATATATTGTACAGACCAGAAAAAGCACTGATTTACTCACTCGCGTTGAAAACAAATAGTTTTTTTCAGTTGTGTCCTAAGGTGTTCCCTATGCCAAGTCTGTAGGAGGTCGTTAATGACGTCACATCGAACAAAACTAGCCCTAGCTCTTAAACAATAACACCGTAGTCTTTACAGTGAAAAACAACGCAATAGTGCATATACTAGACTGCGAGTAGTCTCTCTTTTTCGTCAGATTTAGTAAGGGGAGGGCACGCGCGCGCGAGCGTTGAGCGGCGAAGCCGCGAGACGCGAGAAAGGAGGGCGGCAGCCTCTCCCGTCTCGCGCCTTCAGTCACGCGCGTGGTCATTTGCGTGTCTCGGGCGATTTTGCTCTACGGACCAAGAAAAAAGAGAGACTGCTCGTAGTCCATGCATATACTGATTTGGCGTTAGGAACGTTACAGCCCTTTAACTCTGTTACGCGCTAAATATCCTCTGTTTTAATTAACTGACCTTTATAATGAGATTCAACGTGGCTCAAAACGGTATTGACTAAACTGATCTCTTGCTTAGAAAATCTAATTGTTCTTGAGTCTCATCTTCAATCCCTCCTTCGAATATTCTTTTTTTTATTATTTCCCTAAGTTAATGAACTTTAGAGATCTTTACCTTAAAAATCTTAAAAGTTCATTGTGGTGTTCTTGCTGGACATAGTAAAATCCACCTTTTATTTGAACTGATGTAATATAGTATAAACTACAGGCGAAGTGACAAAGGTTGACCAGTAAAAAAAAAGGACTTCACGTAGCGCGCCTTGTGTATCACTTACCTCTGCCCATACCCTTGAAACGGTTGCCACGCAGGCTATACATTTTCTTTCAGTCATGGGTACCTACATACAGATTTATAATTTCACCAGCTGCAGTGCAACGAGCTTACGCGGAGCCATCAATACTTGGGAAATTAAAAACAAAAATGTTCTAATATTTGATTGGTTAATAGTCTCCAAAGCTCAGACTCCTTTGTTATGAATGTAACCTGTGACTGAATTGGCTGGCCTATTTGTAGAAGGCTTCGGTTGAGTTCGTAACACTGTAAAAAAAATTTTGTTTAAAAAATCTAAAAGTGTTTTTTCCTTCATGTAGGAATTCTAAGTTCGGTTAAAATTTCACTTTGAATAATTAAACATAAACAACTCTTTTGAAAATGCCTCGCCGTCGTTTAAAAATTTGGTGATAATCAGGTAGAATTCAGCTTTTGTCTAAATTGTTGGAAAATGAGGGCTTATGGCATCCGCCATGTTTGCGTTACATTTACTCGGATAAAGATAATTTGTTTTAACTTGTTAAGTTTTGTTTTAAAATACTTGAAGAGAAGGTCAGCATTAGTGAGACCATGCACTGTCTAAGATGATTTTGTAATAATCACAAAACAGACTCAGTTTCCACGCTTTCCTCAGAGCCTAAAAAAACATCGCCATCAGCGACCAGAAATCATTACGAGATTTTGAATTTGGGTCGACATCTCGGTCAAGATTTTCCACTGATTATCGAGTTTTTCTTGAAACTCCTTGGCCTGTGCTCTTCTCTCTCTTTCCATTGCCTCCATGTCTTCCTTTAACTTGATGTACTGTTCTTGTACAATGAGGGACGAGTAGCGTTCTGACCCGGAATCCTTTGTGAGTGGCACTGCAGGAGCTGCTGCAGATACTTGTCTCATACCACTGTCACGTGGACAGATCTAAATTAACAAAATGATTTATAGTTTTATTCATTTATGGCTCAACTGTTTCCTGGTGGCGTCAAATAGAGAATTTCTCGCCTAAAGCGGAATGACACGACGATAGTCCTCTTCTTTTACGAAATTTTAGTTGTTAATTATCAAAATCGATGGAAATGGAGAGTCAGCCTTTTAATTATTATTAATTAGTAAATCTATCCAGCACCCATGTCTAAAAAAAGCACTTTATTTGAGTATCAATGTACTTAGAACGAAAGTACATTCGGCACACTATTTTCTCCAACTACAGACGGGACCGCCATTTTTCGCAGTCATCAGGTCCACGCGAAGGTTGAGTATTGGTCCGGCCCCAGGAATCGAACCCCTGACCCCCACTCTGCAGTCACGACTAATCAGAATGCAGGTTTTGTAGTAGAATACGAACACAAAGGTTTTCTAATCTCAGATAGATTATGATGAAATTTTAGACATTTCATCTTTAAGCGAGAAAAATCAACTTTGAACTATTAAGATATATAAGAAGGACAATAAAGGAAACTAACGTACCTGGGCAAGAACTTGAATCCCTTTTATCCCCATTGAAATGTAAGGAAATGGTCTCGCTTGTCCAGCGGCGCACTTCATCGAAGCATGCGTTATCTCTCTACCGTTCAATAAGAACACAACTGGAATGGTGTGATCGGTTGCACCATCGAAATCCACCTCACAGGCGATGAGATCATCACGTTTGGCCCTGGCATCTGAAAAGACCAAAAGATTGAGAATTTGATAAGTGATCTGTCATGTTATACCTCCTTGATCCCTATGCATTTCTTTGTGTCCGTACGCGAGGTTAAGTCCGTTACACGCTCCAAAGTAGTGGGAAGAGCCGACCTAGAAAAGTTACGCAAATACCAAGTATATTAACGACATTAACGCCTTCTAAGTGCGTCCGAACGACTCAATTAACAGACGATTTTAACGTCTCAGCCGTTAAATTCGCTTAGCATAAAAAAGGGGCGCCGTAAACTGGGACGCATTTATGCTTTTTCAAAGAACTCCCCATTTAACCGTTGTGGACTGCCGTTGTCTTTTATGCGCCCTGTTCTTACATTTTAACTTCTCAGAATTTGAATGCGTGTAGACGACTTTAACGTCTCTGGCGTAAAATGGCCTTTTATAATGGCCTTTTCCGATGTCAGCTAAAAAATGTCATTTTCACACCCGTTTTCAAACCTGGCCTCTAAAATCCATACCAATTCTCAGACCTGTTCTCTACTAAGAACTTATGTCATCATTACTTAGATTAGAACAGCAACAAAAAGGATTTCCTAAAATCCTTTTCGAATTCGCATATTTCTCTTTCTTTCTTACTCATTTGGAATTGAAACAATAAATACGTTCGTACTTTCCCGTAGTTCCCTTGAAAACCATACCCCGGCGATTCCAGATCAAAATGAACGAAGTGTATACCAGTTGGTGCAAAAACCCTATCCTTTGGGGCGGCACCTACCTATATGGCCATTTATGCACTGAGGAGAGCGCGCGATAAGTTTAAATTGCCTCATTTGTAAAGTGCACGCTATTTAAAAAGCGCGCAAAACCACTTACATGGGTTGGGTCTGGTCGGCGCATTTGACTCTGTGGGGCGAAAACAACATAACAGTAGTGCCATTTATGTACTGAGAAGGGCGCGCGCCAAGTTTAAAAAGTTTAAATTGCCTCATTTGTAAAGTGCCTGCCATTTAAGAAACGCGCTAAAGCGCTTACATGGTTGGGTATGTTGCGCATTTGTCTCTATGGCGGGAAACCGACTTAATAGAGAGCGCGCGAAAAGTGATAATTTCAACTGATCAAAATAACTAACTCGTCGCCCAACCAACGGAGATTGATGTTTACCTGCTTGTCGGTTTCTTGCCCATAATAACGATATCCGATGATCAAATTCCGGAATCATAATTTGCAAAATGTTTTTTACAAATTCCTTCAACCGTTTCTTTTCCAGCAAATTTCTAGATAATGTAATAGAATGACTGCCAAAACAAGTGCTTTCCAGAGTTTACTCCACTTTTTTTTTATTCCGGAATACGATCAATCGAACTCACCCTAAGTGTGTAACGTAAAGTGTAGCTGAATCGCAGACTGTTTACGAATCATTTGCGTTTACACTAATAGTAATGTGATAACCTCTCATTCCCTACCGTCTTTATCAG